GGTAACCCCCCCCCCCCCAGTTTTGTTGAATAAAGAGTTTCTATTTTCGAACACACGAGTCCTTTATTTTTTACATTAGGAAGGGGGGCTAGGGAAGGGTAAGTGGAAGAAGGTGAGGGAGGAATGGGGCATGAGCCACCAATGGGGAGGACTGGGGTGGTTCTGCGGGCTCCTCGGGGTGGAAGCTCTCCTGCAGGGCCTCCTGGATCCTGACAGCCCCCCAATTAACCCCCCCAGGTGGCAGCCTGCGGCAAGTGCAGCTGGGATGATGGCCGAGTGCTGTGATGTGCCGAGTGAGGGCACTCAGGGCACTCCAAGTCAGGACTGCTTTGCTGTCCCTCATCAAGTTAGACAAGAAAGTGGGGAATCCTGAGAACTGTCTGTTCAAAGTGGGGGTCGGGTCCCTTTTAGCACAGCCCTCTGCTAGCCTGAGGCAGCAGCTCCACACTCCAATCATTCCGGCCAGCCTTAACTTCGGTTCAAGGTCCACTCAATGTGGACATGCTATTTCGAATTAGCAAAATGCTAATTTGAATTAGTTTTTAGGTCTAGATGCACTAATTCAAATTAGCTTAGTTCGAATTAACTAATTTGAATTAAGTTAGTTCAAATTAGTGCTGTAGTGTAGACATACCCTAAGTGTAGACCCATCCTAAGGGCTCTACCATAAGTAGGCACAATTTGCTCAGAATAAGGCAGTAGCATCAAGTGACAATTTGCCTTTGCAACGTTTCACTTCTTGAATAACAATGTTTATGTTCACATCAAGATCACTCTACTAACAATTGTATGTCATAATGTTTCTAAACTGTAGTTTCATTTCACAACAGTGCTGCCTGCTTTATGTACAATGGGACTGTTCTGTGCCAGGCTAGACCTCTAGCATAAATGAGACTGCTCTAATGTGTGCTGGCTGGCTTACACAAAGTCCATAATATCTCAAGATACTTGTGTAGTCCCACAAAAGGCTGTAAGGCTAATCTTTAAAGCATTTTAAAGTCATAACTTTACTAAGTCATAATTTTACTAAAATAATAAATTATTATTTTAGTTAGTAAAATCTAGATACCAATCAGTATCTAGATTTCAAGAGTCCTGAGTTAATTCACCAAAACACAGTTTTGTAATCTTAATACAATTAAGAAGCTTAAACTAATCCTTAGCTACATCTCAGAATCACCACAGAACAAACAGTTGTTACTCAGAACAAGAGAAGGCCCTCACTTGAATAGCACCGTGTTTGGAGTTAGTCAGTGCTATTTGACTCCCTATAATTAAGAAGCATCAAAGTTCCAAGCAACTGTTAATAGAATAAACAAAAAAGTTAACACAATACAGTATTATCTTTAATAAGAGTGCTTATGCAAATGAAACAGGTACAAAAGAGATTTAGATATTCCTACCAATTTTAGTCTTCAGATCATTAAATCTTGTACTGATAGTTTCAGAGAAGAACAATATGATCTACTTTTACCTGGTTCCTTTGGCATTATGATAATATCGGGTTTAGATCTTCTTGACTTCATTGAATCAGTTTTAAAGCTGTCAATTGGTGTTAATCTGACCTTTAAAAAACATAAGTGATTCAGGAAATACTATGTTTACACTTCTGAGTGCAGTAGTGAATATGTTTCATTCCAAAAAAAATACAACTATCAAAAATCTAAATTCAGTAGCAATTGTGAAATCTGACAGAATAATAGTAAAAGTACTAAGCCAGAATTTGGATGTGAGAAAGCTCAGGAACCTTCTGAAAGTGGTATTCGTCTTTAAATTTCTAATACTAGAAGAGTTACCTGGCGTTGCCTGGGTCCTTCAGGACAGAGGTTTTGGAGTATGGGCGGTGCAGGAGTGAGAGTAAGGCCTTGGAGATGTGGGGGGCAGGGCAGGAGGCTGGGAACATGGGGTGGTTCAGGAGTTAGGGGCTACGTCTATACTGCAAGCCTCTTGTGGAAGAACAAATGCGAATGGAACGCTCATTTGCCGATGCAGCGCTCTTATTTGCATTTCCTCTTCCTTTCCTTTTTGCGCAAAAAGTGGTGTAGATGGTGCCTTTTTGAAAATGAGCGCTCCATTTGCATTTACTCTTCCGCAAGAGGCTTGCAGTATAGATGTAGCCAGAGTGAGGGTGTTGAGGAGTGGCTCAGGACAAGGGGCTGGAGATATGTGCAAGAGTGAAGACTGGGGAATAAGGAGGGGCTCAGGGCAGAAAGTTCCATCCAGCGAGGCTTTCTCTCTCTACTAGTCTGCAGGGCCTTTTCTCCCCCCAGTCCTCTGCGAGGCAACTTACTGTTAAATATCCCATTATTATTCTACTAATGCATGTTAGCCCTGACATCCTAAATAAATTGTAATATAGATACTCCTATTCTGTCTATCTCACTTATATAAGGTATTTTCCACTTCCTTTACTAAGCTTAAGTATTATTGTTGCATGCTGTTAAACACTACTGAATTTCAATAGTAGATGAACAATGAGGAGTCCTGTGGCACTTTAGAGACTAACAAATACAGGCAGTCCCCGAGTTACGCGGACTTATGTCGGATCCGCAGTTACGAACGGGGCCCTTCTCCCTGGTCTCCAGCAGACCAGGGAGAGGAAGCAAAGCGGCGGAGCACGCGGGCAGCAGACAGCCCAGACGCGCACAAATTTCTAGGTCACACTTTCCCCAATCTTCTCTGAAGCCAGGGCATATACCTACACTCAGGCTCCTGATAGGTAATGATATTTCAGAAGCCAGCAAGAGATCAGCACAGTAACAAAGCAGACCCATATAAATTAGTGGTTAGACCACACTGGGTGGTCCCCAAGAGCCTTGGTTGGTTTATATTTAAAATATCAACCACTCACTAGAGCTGGGAGAAAGCAAAAAGAACCTAAGAACACTCTTCAGACAAAGTGAATTTGCTTGATGGTATTCATGGCCCCTCTAACTCAACTGCTGCCAGTGCTCCTGCACATTTTCTACAAAGCCATCATGAAAGCTCAATGTAAGGTCAAGGTTCCTCCAACCAAAGCAGAAATACCACCATGCAACTCAGGTGACCAAACACCACATATAGCTCAGCATTGCCCAGGACTGGGCCTTCGATGTGCTATTGCAGCTGAATTCTGCAATAAAAGGATGAAGATATATGGTATCTTATTCTTCCAAGAAAAACAGAGGAACGTTCCCATCAATTGTTGGCATGGAAAGGCTTTTATTAAGGCTGTTTATATTATCTCTGGTTTGACACCTAGAGAAACATGTTTCTACTGCACTGAGTGCAAGCCAAGAACAACCTGCTCTGACATTTACCCATGGTGTGGTCACAAGAAAAATCATTTTGATTAATTGTGGCTAGAGTTTCCCCTACAATATGTACCAGTTCCGACTTACATACAAATTCAACTTAAGAACAAACCTACAGTCCCTATCTTGTACGCAACCCGGGGACTGCCTGTATTTGAAAGAACTATATGCGTTGTCAACAGAATTATGAGTTAAATTCTGAGTTTAGGATGTTTTGTACTAGTTAATGATTATGTAAGGAGAAGAAAGTAATAATAGTTGGATTTCCAGGTCACAGTGTTGATAATAAAACATTTTGATATATACTGAGGACATTGGATGTGGACATACTTGAGGGAGAGTTACATAGGGGAGACCACAATTTGACATGAGTGTCTATTTTATTTTTACTATAATAGCATTTTTCAGATATATTCTCCCTATACAGGCAGTCCCCGGGTTACGTACAAGATAGGGACTCTAGGTTTGTTCTTAAGTTGAATTTGTATGTAAGTCGGAACTGGTACATATTGTAGGGGAAACTCTAGCCAAACATTTCTCCAGAGCTCAGTTTTATTCTCCCACACCTCACTTTCCTCAGTCCTTTATTCTCAAGCTGAGGTGTCTGCTGAGAAAAGCTGCTCCGCGTCTCCCTGGTCTGCTGGGGGGAAGCAGCTAGTGCGGGGTTGCCTCACCCCGTTTGTAAGTAGGGATCCGATGTAAGTCGGATCCATGTAACCCGGGGACTGCCTGTAAAACTGTATTGGCTCTGCAGTGGCCATGAAATAAAGAAATAGAAATTTAAAGTGCACAGGACGCAGAAATTTAGAGTAAGAAGGTGTAGGTTTTCAATAGTCACTTCTCTGATTACAACTATTAAGTAATTACAACTATGTTTTAATATAACCTTTTTAATAATAAAAAAGATTTTACCTGATAAGCAATCTTGCGGCCTGAGTGAAAAAGGAAAGTTGCATAGTTTAGAAGGAGATTCATAAGAAATCTTACTTGATACATTTTCCAAATACTTTCTTTTGATACTTAAATGTTTTCTATCCTTTGTTAATTATGATATACAATTACCCAGCAGTTGTAGATTTTAAAACCAGTTTCAATTTTTATTATATTGAATTGTATACTCAATGTTATAAAATTAATTTTCAAAACCATGGAATATTCCCTTTAATTTTACCAATTTTCTAATTGTGTAATTTGCTCCTATTTAGGTGGTCTTAAATATTTTCATGTGTCTTTAATATTTTAATGCTGTCCTTATAGCAGAAAAATTTCAAAACATATTTTGTTCTTTTTTTATGCAAAAGAAAACACCATTTGCAAAGATGGATTTCTCCTACTTATTTATTTAGTTTTTTTCTTCTTCTTTCCTGTTTGCAAGAATGGAGCAGACAGATACTGGGAGGATGGAAGAAAATTTATGTAATGGGAAATGCACTTGGGTAACCAAGGCCAGAACTGTGCCGGAAATATTTGCAACAGTTACTGTATATTCAACCAAATTATTTTTCACTGAGTGCTCAATACAGCCGTATTTATTCCTTCCCTCTCTTTGCTGAATTATCTCTCCCCTCTGAGACTTCTCCAATTTTGTGTTACCGGGCCTACTCCATTCCTTTCTTCCCATCCAAACTGTATTATCACTTTTTCATGCCTTCCTTTTTGGTTACTCCCTTCTACTATGTATTGACATTGTCTACCATTCTCCCAACCTTCCTGTTTCCTTCTTTCCCTGCTCAGCTCTTACTTTGTGTTAAATTCTCACACCTCACTGTTCATCATTCAGATTGTCTCACCCTTACTCATTAGCTCTGTTTCATTCTTACCACTGTCTTGATTTTGCTTCACATCCTGTTCCTTTTTATTAGTCTTTGTTCAAATGCACTACCTTAGCATTCTTTCCTCTTACCAATTAGTTTCCAAATACTTTTATTCCTGTCCCATTCAAAATGTTTTCTGCTTATTATTCTGCTGTAACTTTCCCATTCACATTCCACTCTCATGTGATCTGTATGCTGCAGAAAAATTAGAATCCTAATCTCTAAATAGCAGAACACAGGCCCTCTCCCATTTACCCTTCTGTTCTGCATGTGAGTGATTAGACAGTGTTTCAGAGAGTGAAATTCAAGTAACTTTCATTTTGCTAACCACTTGTCAACAATGCATAGATGCAAATTTGTAACCTGAATTGATCTTTATTGTTGAAAGACATGCATCTGACGAAGTGGGTCTTTGCCCACGAAAGCTTATGTTCCTACATTTCAGTTAGTCTATAAGGTGCCACAGGACTCCTTGTCGCTATTGTTGAAAGAAGCACTAGCAAATGTTACAACACATCATGTATATTGTTTTAAAGCACCACATAAAGATTGCAAAAGTAACTTTTCTCTCCAACACAAAAATAAATATGTAGTCTGAATCCATTTCATTTTCTGGGATAAGCTCTCTTTCCCCAGTGCCAGAAGATGCCAGTTTTTATGTAATATGTAGTTTTCTTTTCATTTGTCCTGGTGTCCATTAAGTTTATTTTTGGATCTTCCTTCATTTTTGGCAGGCAAGTTAAGAAGCATGAGGATAGGTTTTCTTCATCTCAGTGATTTTTTTTTTAAAAGGGGCATGGTCAAGGTAGAAGACCAGAACTGAAGTTTAACATACACTATGATTTAAATCCATGGTGTCCAACATACTAGCCACTAGCCACATATGGCTATTTAGCCAGTTCAGTGTAGCTATTTGACTTGAATAATGTGGATATTTGGCTGGTTAAGTGTGGCTAGTTCTCTGAAGCAGTAGCCACTATCATGGACACCATGGGGTTAAATGACTGTCGGTATCCAGGCAAAATCACCAGCCCTAGAAACTTAATGCTACAACACAATAAAATCCCATTTTTGAAGGTGACTGGCCACTGACCAACTAATGCAGATCATGAAGCTATGCACACAACATAGTATCATCTCTCTCTACAGTACCAGCTTGCTCCATTCTTGTGATTAAGTAGGGTATTGGATCCATGTGAACTTCAGTACTCTCACAACTCCTTTCTCAGATATGTTAGTCTGTCCTGCTAGCAATCTGGAGCCATTCCCATTCTCACGAATGTATGTACATTTTGTGTATTTTAATAAAAATGGAACGTTGAATTGTGTTATCCATATGACAAATTGCAATTACATGATACATGTAATTTGATAAATGTTTTGCTCTTGATGCAGGCATTAAATTCCAAGCATTGCTAGGAGCTCTGCCAGGATTTTTTACTCACAAACTTGCCTAAACTCTTCATCTCTTCTTTCGGTGTAGCAGAACTCACTTAGAATCATAGAATCCTAGGGCTGGAAGAGACCTCTGGAGCTCATCGAGTCCAGAACCCTGCCCAAAGCAGGACCAACCCTAACTAAATCAACCCAGCCAGGGCTTGACTTAAAAACCTCTAGGGATGGAGATTCCACCACCTCCCTAGATTATCCATTCTAGTACTTCACCACCCTCCTAGTGAAATAGTTTTTCTTAATATCCAACCTAGACCTCCCTCAATGTAATTTGAGATCATTGCTCCTTGTTTTGCTGTCCATCACTATTGAGAACAGCTTCTCTCCATCCTCTTTGGAACCGCCTTTCAGGAAGTTGAAGGTTGCTATCAACTCCCCCCACACCACTAACTCTTCTCTTCTGCAGACTAAATAAGCCCAAATCCCTCAGCCTTTCCTCGTAAGTCATGTGTTCCCGCCCCCTAATCATTTTGCTTGCCCTCCACTGGACCCTCTCCAATGCGTCCATATCTTTTCTATAGTGGGGGCCCCAGAACTGGACACAGTACTCCAGATGTGGCCTCACCAGTGCCGAATAAAGGGGAATAATAACTTATCTAGATCTGCTGGAAATGCTCCTAATACACCCTAATATGCCATTAGTCTTCTTGGCTACAAAGGCTGTATCTAGCGTGACTACACCTCTCTGTCGACAGAGAGATGTAGATTAGGCACATCGAAATTGCTAATGAAGCGGGGATTTAAATATCCAGTGCTTCATTAGCATAAACATGGCCGCCACTTTTTTTCGAAATGGAGCTTTTTTGAAAAAAAACCCCACAGCAGTCTAGACGGGGATCTTTCGAAAAATAAACCCTTTTTCAAAAGATCCTGTAAACCTCAAAGGGTTTATTTTTTGAAAGATCCCCATCTAGACTGCTGGTTTTTTTCTGAAAAAGCTCCGTTTTGGAAAAAAGCGGTGGCCATGTTTATGCTAATGAAGCACGGGATATTTAAATCCCCGCTTCATTAGTAACTTCAACGTGCCTAATCTACATCTCTCTGTCAACAGAGAGGTGTAGTCTAGACGTACCCTAGGCACGCTGTTGATATCCAACTTCTCATCCACTGTAATCCCCAGGTCCTTTTCTTCTGAACTGCTGCTTAGTTCGTTGATCCCCAGTCTCTAACAATGCTTGAGATTCTTCTGTCCCAAGTGAAAGACTTAGTTATTTCTCATTTCCTCCCCTATTGGCATCAGGCCTGGAGTAGACAGCAGCCCTCTACCCTGAGACCAGTACAGCAGGCAAGTCCTCATTTTATTCCCACATTCCTCACGTTCTGCAGAAGGATCAAGAATAGCAACAGTAACCACCTCCAACAGCAGGACCAAATGAAAGGAAATTCTTTGCCGAGCTAGCCTATATCCCAGAGGCCAATTAAACTCTCATTTAAATCAATTTAGGTTTATCATGAAAGGAAGTCAGATCAAACTCCAGTAACAGAATGGGTTTGCTGTTTGCTTTTTTAGTCACTTATGACCTTGCTTTTGTCCAGGGTCCCTATTTCATAGATGGGTTTATAGTGTTGACAACTCTAATATTTTTAAAGCCCCATCTCCTAGAGGCATGTGGTTAATGAAGAATCTCGATCTTCATTTAAAGTTTCTAACCCTTACGGCTAAAGAAAAAACTGAAAATATGAACGAAGTACATCACAAATGCTCAGAAATCAGAAGAAAAATAAATAGAACAAATATTGTTTTAAGTTTCAGAGGGGTAGCCATGTTAGCCTGCTTCAGCACAAATGAGGAGTCCTGGGCACCTTAAAGATTAAAATACATTTGTTAGTCTTTAAGGACTCCCTGTTAATATTATTTTAGTTTTAATCTATATTTACACCAATTTCACTATTTTGTGGCCCAAATCATAATTTTTTAACATTTGCATTTAGCAACACTAGTTATATATCCTATTTTCTTTTAACCATCTCTCCCCCAAACCAGTTCCTACTAAGGTCAAAATGTGCTACTCATCTTGCTTGCAAGGACATGAGAGACTTTAATTTGTGTGGCCAGTTCTCAAAACTTTATCACGTGTGCTACTCATCTTGCTTGCAAGGACACGAGAGACTTTAATTTGTGTGGCCTGTTCTCAAAACCTTATCACGAGTCTCACAATATGTGGTGCTTTTCTTAAAGCCCCAGTTCCTGAATTATGTGATTACACGAGAATCAAATCTCAGATTCTGTCTTTAAAAAGTATGTTTCTAGCACTTGTGGTTGCAGAAAGATTGAAAGCATTACCTTAAAGGGTACAATGCCTCAGAAGACAAATTAAAAAAACACCACCACCAAAACAGAATTCTTATTTTCTTTTAATCTCATGA